TTGATTCTATGTCAATTGTTTATTTCAACGAAGTTGATTTTGTAAAAAGTGAGTGTTATGTGAGCCGGCCCAGTGGCGCACTGGAAAGTGCGCCGCTTGAGAGTGCGGTGGTGCTCCCGCCGAGGGTTCGGATCCCATGTGGAGACTGGTTCCTGCTCACTGGCTGAGCGTGGTGCGGGCGTGACACCGAGGGTTGCGATCCCGTTGCCGGTCAGTAAAAAAAAAAGACAAAAAAGGAAAAAAAAAAAAAAAAGTGAGTGTTATGTAAAAAAAAGGAAACAGGGAAAGAATATCAAATAGGGGCCTGAAGGCCGGCCCGTGGCTCACTCAGAGTGCGGTGCTGATAACACCAAGGCCGGTTCGGATCCTATATAGGGATGGCCGGTTTGTTCACTGGCTGAGCGTGGTGCTGACAACACCAAGCCAAGGGTTGAGATCCCCTTACCGGTCATCTTTTAAAAAAAAATAAAAATAAAAATAAATAAATAAATAAAGCTGAGCGTGGGGCTGACAAATAGGGGCCTGCAATTAATGGTGCAATTGATTTTGGAAGTTGGGGTGGAGTGTGGATCTCACATTCTTTCCATAGCTGGCCATCTGCAAAGTTGTTGCTGGGGATCCCAGCATGGCCCAATCACCCACTTCCCACTCCTGCAGAAAGCATCTTAGAGGCCATGCATAGTCCTTAAAGAGCCTACGTAGCCGTCAGGCAGGTCTGCAGCATGGGACAGACTGCTGGGCCAGAAGGGTGGGCACTCCTGGTGGCGCTCCCAGCCTGGGTACTGGGGAGTGGTCATATTAGTCGGTTTTCTGTTGCTGATAACAGAATACCTGAAACTGGGTAATTTATAGGAAAACAAGATTTATTTTTTACAGTTCTGGGGCTAGGAAGTCCATGGTCCAGGGGCACATCCAGTAAGGGCCTTCTTGGTGGTGGCCCTGTGCAGAGTCCTGTGGCAATGCTGGGAATTACGTGGCAAGGAGGGCAAGAGCACTTTCATGTGCTCTCCTTATAAAGTCACCAGTCTTCACCCATGATAACCCATTAAACCATTAACCCATTACTCCATGAATGGATCAATCCATTCGGGAAGGCATAGTCCTCAGGATGCAATTACCTCTTAAAGGCCCCACCTTCCAAATACTATGATCGGAATTTCCCACCCTCTTAACAGTGTTATAATGGGGATCAAGTTCCATGAACTTCTGGGGGACACATTTAACCCATAGCAGCGGTGATGGTTGCACAACCTAGTGAATATATTAAAAGCTAGGGCCGGCCCGTGGCTCACTCGGGACAGTGCGGTGCTGATAACACCAAGGCCCCAGGTTCGGATCCCAAATAGGGATGGCAGGTTAGATCACTGGGTGAGCGTGGTGCTACCAACACCAAATCAAGGGTTAAGATCCCCTTACTGGTCATCTTTAAAAAAAAAAAAAAAAAAAAAATATAT